TATACTCCCTGCCCAACCATCAGGCCTACAACAAATACTTTAGTTTATATATTTGCATTCGTATGAAGAACTTCTTCTCTGTGCCGTGTCAATCAGGATGTTGGCGATCATGGCTCTCCACAATTTCCTGTCCCATGTAGCTCTTAATAATTGTTGTCTTTTCGTCATCTAAAATTTGTTCCGCCATCCATGTACACAAACTTGTTAGGTATGGTATTCCCCGGTCCCTCTTACCTTCAATCTATCCTGTGAGTATCAAATTTTCCAAACCCTCTTTCCTCATTATGTACCCGAGAAAGCTCAACTGTCTCTGTCTGGTGTTAAGTATAAGTGTTATTTTTGTTTCCATTTTCTCTAAAATTTCGTCGTTGCTCACATGTTCGATCCATAGTATTCTCATCATCCTTCTGTAGAGCCACAATTGTGAACACCCAAATGGAATCGAACTCCCTACAGGAGGAATGTTCTTTGAAACCAGCTTGTTAAACAGCACACCAAATGTAGATGACTACCCCTTCAAACAAAAAAAAATTGAATAAAGTGTTTATTTTAGATTTTTACTAAAATAAACTTTACTAAAATAAACACTTTATTCAAATTACTTGCATAATAAAAACTGACATAGTGCAAGGGCAAGCTCATTTACAATGTAACAGTCAAAACATGAGCAAAAAATAACAACAGCAGAAAATTATACTGTCAGCAATTAGAGCATTTGAACCAAGCTTTGAGGAAAAAGACCTACTCTAGTGAATCGAAAAGAGGTGATGTTTCATCAGGACAATGCGCGACCCCACACAGCAAGAATCACGTCACAAAAGATTGGTTGGGAGAAAATTCCCCATCCACCTTATTCTCCTGATCTTGCTCCTTCAGACTACCATTTGTTTCGTAGCTTACAGAATCATTTGGAAGAAACAGCTTTTGTAACACAGGAAGAGGTTAAAACTGACATTTGTGAGTTCTTCGAATCAAAGCCAAAAGAATTTTACAGTAATGGAATTAGTAAGCTTGTTAATAGATGGAAGGAAGTCATAGATAATCAGGGAAAATACATTGTTGATTGAATCTGTAATTAAATGTAACATTTGGTCACTTGTTTTCTTTATTCAAAATTCGGACAGAACTTATGGGATGACCTGATATAATACTAGTTGGATCTGTAGAAATTCCACGGGTGTTGACAAGATGATCTATTATCTCATGCTTTTGGTTTTCTCTCAGCCTTTACCTGTATCTTCTCTTTCTCTCCCTTATCCCTTCCAATCTTCTTTGCACGACTTTATTTTTATCTAAAGGGTGTCCAAACATTAGGTCGTTACATATTCAAAAAAGGAAGGCAAAACAAATGTTGCAATAAATTTCTTTTTGTTTTCTGATGACAACGGTTCACTGGGGAAACATGTGATCGTTGAAGTTTTCCAAATCACCGAAGTTAAGCAACGTAGAGTTTGGTCCGTACCTATAGGGGTGACCGCTTGGCAAACCAGTTGCTGTAAACTTGGATATGCGATAGGGGCAAAGTCCCGGAATTGTTAATCCGAGAGCCGAGTTCCAATTCCCGTTGAGTCCGTTATATCCACTTACGCGCAAGTAAGTCATTAGTATGACTCCGAAAACCTTCTTATAATCTAAAAACAATATTTCTGGCTTTAAATAGCCTGGAAAGGCTTGAGAGGTTGTAGAAAACGAATCAATAAATTACACACACACACACACACACACACACACACACACACACACACACATATATATATATATATATATATATATATACACATACACATATATATATGATAAAATAAAGAACAAATAGGAAACATTTAACACTCTAACATGTTTCACTTTTATTAAAGCTTCATCAGAGAATGAAATATTGAGAAAAAAGAAGAAAGAAATTCTGGTATTTTTACTTTGTGTTGTTTGATTTTCACTATTTACATTATTCGGATGATTGTCCTCATCTTTGTCGCCATATCTATTACAACGTTTCGTCGGTTGTACGCTCCGGCCTTCTTCAGATGGTTGGAATGTCGAAGTGAACCCTTTATTAAGCTCACTGGGGTAGTCTGTTCTAGTTCCACGTGCCATTTCTAATGGATGTCAGTTATCAGTTATCTCCTGCTTAATTCACCTCTCCAAGTTCTCCACCGCCTTAACCAGGTATTGAACTCACACTCTTTGGGTCCTGTCACTGGATCTAACTAACGCCTTTATCCACTGTGCCATGTACCAGGAGATAACTGATAACTGACATCCATTAGACATGGCACGTGGAACTAGAACAGACTACCCCAGTGAGCTTAATAAAGGGTTCAGTTCGACATTTCAACCATCTGAAGAAGACCGGAGCATACAAAGGTCGAAACGTTGTAATAAATATGGCGACAAAGATGAGGACAATAGTTCGAATAATGTAAATAGTGTACATAATATCTCAGAAATATAGACTGATACTTTTTGATTTTCATTGGTTAATCATGTTTCACGTGCATATGACTTGTTAAACAAAAGTCAGTATAATTTAGGGCGTTACGAATTCAAGGAGAAACAACACGTCCCTTCGAAGTTCCAAGAAATTAATGAATTACAAGCGCAGCTGAAAAACCGTAAATGATGACCTTATGTATGTAAATGTATAATAATTCTACAGCCAGTCTGAAGTTATTATGGAAATCAAATAAGTTTTAATAACTCAAAAAATTGTGAACCAATATTTGTCAAATTTAAACTCATCCATTTCCACCCTTAGGAAAATATTTAACTAGATTTTCTGCCATTTTTAATGGTTAGTTTTTGAGATATTTGGAATTTACGAAAACGGACTGACTGAAGTTATTATGAAGATTAAACTTATATCAGTTTAAGTCCTCTGAAATTTAATAAAAACTATTTTTCTTTTTGTCCAAAAAACATGGGTAAAGGGAAGGATCTAACAACAGCTGAAAAACAGAAAATAACAAAGTTATTAGGTGAGAAAATGTCCACATTAGGGATATCAAAGGAGCTTTGAAGAGATCATCGAACGATAAAGACGGCTGTCGAAAATATATGTTGACAAATCAAAGCAAAATAATAGGATTTAAAAATTTGCTTCCTCGATATGGACTTAAACTAAAGCGAGTTATATCGAAACAACCACTTTTGACCAGATCTCAGATCTTTGAAAAGGCTGGAATTGAGGGAATCAAGGAAGACAAAAGATGTAGAATACTTTGTGAATTGGGGTCTGTAAAAAATATCCTAGACAACTCCTCTCACTAAAGGAACTATTTTAAAACATAGAAATTGGGCCAAGAAATACATGAAAATTGATTTTCTTAAAGTAATTTTCATGGACGAATCTCGAGTGATATTTGATGGACCTGATGGATTGGCCAAAGGATGGATTTTTATCCAATTTAGGCGTATCTGCGGCTAAAAGAAGGCAACAAGGAGGCGGTAGTGTTATGATATGAGCAGGAATTATCGACTAAACTATTATTGGACCATTCAAAGTCAATGAAGCAGTCAAACTGAACTGTGCTAACAAGACTTTCTTTGCATAATACAAGTCCCAGTCTCGCAGTTTCAAAGTTAAGTGTGAATCTATGCATAACAATGCTCCTTCTCATGTAGTTAAGTTTACCCGTAAATTATTTGAGCATAAAAGATTTACAGGAGATAAGATAATGAAATGACCACCATCAAATGCTGATCTGAATCCAATTGAAAATCTATGGTCAATTGTGAAGATGAAATTATATGAAGGTGGCAAACAATATAACAGCAAATTAAACCTATGGGAAGCAATTAAAAGTACCATGACGGAAACTGAACCTGTGAAGTAAAACAATTAACAAAATCAATGGATAATAAAAAATACTGGATTTTATTGAGAAGAATGGTTACTATATTAAAATGTAACAAATTCAAAGACTTATCATATGTTTGTTATTTGTTCTATTATAGAGCTTGATCAATGTTTGATGATTTTATTACCTTTTTATTGAAGTAAAATGTGATTATTTGGTTGTGCCTAATAATTTCAGATGACAGTTTTTTAGAATATATCAAATAACTTCAATAAAACATATTGATACTACCTAAAATTTTAACTCAGGCTTTGTTTTGACATGTAAATTGATTGTTTAAAATTTGAAATTTTTTTCAAACCAAATTTGAATTATTAAAGTTTATATAATTTGCATAATAACTTCAGACAGAGTATAGTTAGATGATGTATATTCGTAAGTGTGTATGTGTGTGTCTGTATGTGAGTGCGTGTTTGTGTGTGTGAGTGCCTAGTAAACATTATGTTTGGATGTTTTTCGCACGTTTGTTTGGGGACGTTTTTACGTACATAGCGTTTCTTTTAGATCAACATACGTTAGATTCTTTAAGAATGGTTTCAATAAATGTTGGTGATGTAATAATATATATATATATATATATATATATATATATATATATATATAATATATATATATATAACCAACCACACTTCACAAAAGAACTGACAACAGAGAAATACTGCACTGTGTACCATAAAGCAGCGAGTGCTATTTATAGTTTTCCTTCTCATAGACAAGCTGACAGCCAAGTCTGTCCTGCTACTTAATCCACTGCTGGGGAGAGATCGGTTCATGCCTTTTCTAAGGGCATTAGTAAAGGAACAAAACAGAATTTGAACATAAAACGAACAGAATAGCGTCGAATTTATATGTATTTCTTTTTTTAACATTATTTTCATATGTGCATGCATGTGTCTGTATGTATATGTGGGGAGGGGGGCGTGTGTGTATAGGCCTTAAAATTCGCCGAAAAGGTTGAAAGGTGGTGCACACAGACGGTGTCTCTGAGCCAAAGATTTTAGTTTTATCGGAAACAAAATACTTTTTGAGTTACAACAAAATGGCGGCAGACACGCGGGAACAGAGACACCTCCGTATACCACCGCCGGGGATGTTTTCCAGAAGAAACAGACATTGGAATTTTATTTCCTATTTCCTGTTCTGTCT